GTACTGATTTATCTCTTAAATGTACTTAATTTCACTGAGTGCCTGTAATTTTATAAAGAATTACAGTCAGTTCACAAATTCATCCAATGCTTGTATTTAATTCCTGTATTTGTACTTGGATGCATTGCAAAAATGGTGCCTGAGTAATTTTCATGAACATCTTGAACACTGAATGATATTCATGTGGAGGATAATTTAAAGGAAAACAAAGTCTAATTGACATAGAGTTGAAGCCATGCTCAAACCAGGGCAATATTTTTTCATGAGACTAGAAATCACTTATTTATAACATCTTTTATTGTCATAAGGAATGAATAAAACAAACAAATGAATTAGAAGTGGTTTTACTTGAAATTTTCACTGATACTCTAGTTTGGACTCCCAGATGCTAATTGATTTGGTAGTTGTATCTAACTTATCCAAAGGAATGCAACTTGGAATATATTCACTTAAGCTAAAATTCAAAGCCAATTTACATAAGGTAATCTGGAATACATTTCAGAAATTATACAGACTACTTTCTCCTAAATTATCATTTTAATAAATGATGGTTTTAGTCTATAATTTAGAAGGGAAATTATTGTTCCTCGTCATTACAATGAAGTCAGTAGATTCTGTTATTTCTATTAGTTAATCTAAGTCTATTTTATAACCATGTTGTGTTATACATACTCTAACCCTTAGATATCAGTAGTCAGTATATTAACATATCTGAACAAAGAATATAAGGTTATGCTATTCTTCCCAAGTTGACCTCAAGTGTTAAATTATTTTTTTCAGCTTTGCTGTAAAATTATGCAAGTGCTCAATGCAGTAATAAATGGTTAAGAATTAAAGTCATTAATGAATGCATATAATACCACGGATATGTTGCAGGATTGATTAATTATACATTCTTTATAGAGAAAAAAAATCTGAAGAATCAGACATAAGCTTAGGGATCCATTAGGGCAGATTTAATTTTTAAAAGACTTATAATTCAAGTAGAAAATATGAGGAAATAATACTAATCTATTGATTAAACTTAAGCTCTTCTCATTTCTAAATGAGGAATCAGATTCTATAAATCTCCAGACTGTGACCAAGTAAGCTCCACATGGTAGAGATAGCTCTGCCCAGTGGCAGCCAGATAAGAAGGGCGGGTGACACATAAACAAGAACAAATAGCACAATACTCCTTGTGCAGTATATTTCTGGATTTTTAACTTTTGAACTTTTACGTAGCCTGTTTTAGGGAATGATCCGAAATAACAGCAGTTGTTTTATTTCGATGTGATCAGACACTGTTAAATATTAATATAAAATTGCTGAATGAAATGCAGGTTGTCTTTCTGTAAATGTATGTACAGCGAGACATGCATGCACGAGACAATGGAGGGACTTCAGCAGGAATTTGAGACTGTGGCATTGTGTTTACCATACCTTACCTTTATGATAAATAAGTGACAATAGAAAGTCGTATACTGTGGCAACATGGCCTATCATGCATTATTTTTTTCAAGGAAATGATAGAGCACATATGTACATCATTTTCTCGAATGCTATACAGAGCCTGTTGGTCCATTTATAGCAAACCTTACATTCTTTTTGTGTGTATGAGAAATTGAACCTACTTTTTAATATGTACATTAAGTGGTCTCTTGACCTGGGAGATAATTAAAATTTTGAACAAATGTGTCTTCCCTACACTTGAACTAGAAAGAAAAAAAAAGAAGAGATGGAGAAAATTTCCACTATCTTATAAAGGCAGGCAGGGTAAGATACAAGAAAATGCCAGTGTTGGTTCTATAAATCACACATACACACGCACGTAACACACACCCCCTAATTTATAGGGTCCTGACTACGTACAAATGGTTTATCCGCATTAAATTTATTTGATAATATTAAAGCAATTCAATTTAGTTTAGGAAACTTTGGATAATTAAATGCTTCTTAGGTGTGTCAAAATACTTTAAGATGTTTTATTATGCATTCATTTATTTACTGCATAGGAGCTGACAGCGTTTCTGGATTCAAGGGACTGGTGCTTGGTGGCCATTTCATAGATTTTTGTTGAATGAGTGAACAAATGCAGGAGACAGTACATGCCAGTTTGGGAGGGATGTGTGTTCCAAGGTGGCTTCAGTCCAGAGTAAGGGGACAGGAAAATAATGCTATAGGCTCAAGAATAAAATAACATTGTCAGGAAGAATGTCGGGCCATGCTGATTTATTGGACTTGATGTAAAAAGAACAGAATCCTTCAAAGGTTTTGAGAAAAGGAGTTTGGGTGATACAAACTGTTAGTAGTTCACCAAGATCAACTCTCTTTTTCTCCCATTTAATAGTTCAAGTTGAGCACAAAGCTGCCTGGTTAGCAATGCTCTAGCTAAACAGCCATGTGACTAAGTTAAGCCGACACTGTGAACACAAATGAGGCACCCCTCCTTACACCTGGCCCTCACACTGGGCCAGCAGTTTCTTCCCCCTTCCTCTGAGCAGTGAGCAGGGGCACATTCCGCGCCCTGCCGGGTGGTGGGGAGCAGAACTGCCCTGCCGGCCAGGACCCGCTGCAGGGCACGCACCGGGAGATGCGCGAGGAAGGGAGAAGAAAGCGGGATATGGGTAACTTAGAACATTGTTGAAGGTGGTCTGATGACAGAGGTGCCTCAGCACCCGTGACAACTGTGCCTGAGAGAGCTGGACGGGCCGGAGAGCTGGGAGAACACCTGGAGACTGTGCTGGAGAGAGGGAGAGAGGTGGGGTCAGCGTGAGTTCCAGGTTTGCGAAAGTGGAACTGAGAAAATATCCTACCGCCTACTGCGATGAGTAACGTGGGAGGATGCTGAATAAAACTCTGGACGTGTCTCCGAGGGGCAGAGCAGTGTGTCCACGACGTCTGCTGCACAGGTGGGGCTGCACCTTAAGAAAGACGTGGGGACAGAGATTCAGGTGTGGAGCTGCTGATGCAGCCATGGGACCGAATCGTGGGGCCACGAGCGTAAGCAAGGCAGAGTGCCCTCTAGACAGCGTTTTATTTCAAACCCAGACAATCACCATGAATTTCCAGTCCTCTTAGGTAATTTCCAAGAGAAGCGCTGAAGTGGGGAGGGTTCCTTCTGCAGGTAAAGTCCCCTAGCAAGCAGACTGCGGAGCTCTGACCGTTTTTTTATTGGACATTGGTTTTCATTCTGTTCCCTACTGTTAGGTGTCCTTGCGTGTGTCAGAGCGCGTGATCGCAGGAGCCTTCCAGCTTCCCTTGAGTTTCTTCTTCCAATCTGCTGTGCTCTGAAAAAACCTGTTAACAAAACTTGCTAGAGCTGTGGAAAAGCAAGAGACTCAGTCTAGGGACAAGCACCTCTGTGGGCCTCCTTGAGTAAAAGTTCTGACTTTATTGTGTGGAGTTGTTTTTAGCTTTATCTTCGCTATGAGCGGGCCTTTTCACTTCCTCTTTGAATCTTGGTAGCATTTTAGTTAGATGAAGTAGCAGAATAAGGTATCTTCAAATATTACCGAATGTAACACTGCAAGTGTTTCTGAATATAATTTAAAATCTGTTTGGGGGACCAAAGTTTGTTACTTGCCCATCAACGTCTTTAAGGTTTACTGTGGGCAATTCTTTTAGATCCACTGAAACTCTATCATCAGCTCTCAGCAACCCCCACAATAACTGCTTTTCAGGCCAGCACCCTTATTGTACCAACCTACCAAAGTGGAACTTTCTATGTGAACAACCATCTCTAAGTATATTATGTTTTAGATCCAACTATTCAGAGTAAATATAAAAGAATATGTACAAACAACTTTTAAATATATAAAACAAAATAAACATTTAATTGAATAATATTAATTTGCACCAGGGCTCAATCTTTTATATTCTCTCTTTCTATAAACGGCGACCATCTTGTGTCTATTATGACATCCCATCCCCTCTATTTGTTAATGACATTTGGCTCAACATTCATTCACGTATTTGCCAACCCAAACAAGAAACTTACATGTTTAAATCTGGATTCAAATATAGCCCTGCTGGAGCCAGACCTACAGGTTAGGTGCCTCATTATTTGTTTGCTGGCTTCGGACTTTCCCGATCCTCTTTCTCCACTAAGAGAAAACAGAGAGGAAGAATATAAGTTTGCTGGTTTGGAGGTGGTAGTTAAAAGCATTACATAACTAGAGAGAATTCTCAGGCCCCAAAATGATGAAGGAATGACATACCAACTTTCAGTTAGTTTATGGTATAACTGAACTTCTTTAGTTTGATGCATACATCCAAAATATTTAGTAAATATGTACTACGTCATGTGCTCATGGCATTTCAGATGTCGGGACTGCAAATGAATGTGACACAACTTCCGTCATACAACAACTTACCATGGAGAACCACAGGACAGGTGAATTACAGTAGAAAGGCTTCGGGCTGAAACGGCTTCACAAATAAAAGTGAGGGGACCCCAAGTGACTGTGTTCTACAATGGGAAGGTCACGTACCACAGACCACATGGACCTGGCCCTGGGAAAGCTGCTACATCTTTGTGAGCCTTCCAGGAAAGACAT